CTCCACTTACGTTGCTCGTGCCTAATTCTCTCAGCTTCATAACAAGATTTTTTAGCTGCATCTCTAACTGCCTGTGCCCACCTCATTATTCTGCCATTTCAGTGCACACTTAAGATGTTTTAGGTTAATTATAGATGTGCAGCAGTGCACGAGTGAGTGAGAGAAAGAGACGCAGAGAGATGATAACAGCCTGCAACTATGTGAAAGGTTTAAATGCTGAGAAGACAGAGAATGTATTAAGTATGAAACATGGGCTATTACGAGGGTGAATGAGACATAACTAAGAAAGGAAAATACCTGATGAATTATCTGGAGAAGCTCGCATGAGAACGTGATTATTTAATTGGGAGACTCTCCTCTAACAGAACAGGAGAAAGATTTCTCACTTGGGAGGTTCAAAATCTGATTGGAAAAGTGTAATAGAGCTTTTCATAGGGAACAACTTCAGGCTGGTGGTGACTGCAGAATTGTCTTTTCTGGCTTCTCTTTGTATGTCTGTATACACACAGAGACATCTTCATAACTACGCAAACGTAGATAACCACATATGGCTCCTTCGTGACAGCGATTCATTCATGACAGTGATATTCGTCATATATTGTATGTTTGGCATTCTCATCTCATCAGGACTCCTGCCCATCAGTAAGACTCTGCTGCGATACTTCTTGTATTTCTAAAGCACATATAGTTCCAAACAGCTGTCATGGGACAAAAGACAACCTGTCAGAGTGGCATTTGCTTCTTATTCTTGAAAAAGTAAAATTTATTCCAAAGATTACACTGGCCTGAGGCTTAAGAGAGGTAACATTTGGCTCTGTGCAAGGACAGATTTTATATGTCAACATGCATTGGATTTAGAAATAGCAGATTTTAAGTGAGAAGTCATCTGCTCTAAGACCTGCTAGGTCAGGGTGTACTGTACATGTAATGGTTTGGTGTATTATGAAAAGTGTATTGTTTTTATTGGAACATGCACAGATAATGAAAGAATAATCTGAAAGACAAAAAAAGAATACAGAGAGGGCTTGATCCTACAAATTTTTAATTTCTGACTGCAATGTTAACTACTGTAAATAATCTGAAGTCTGTGGCAGTAAGTGTTCTATGCTTTAAAGTTTTTGAAGAATTGAGGCTTTATTTTTAAGCTAAATTTTTTTTTCATTCAAAAGCTGAATAGCAGTTGTGAGGATTTCTGTGCATTATAAGATCACAGTGTGATTTTTTTTTTTTTATTCACATTTTTACCATGCAGAGGTAAGAACTCATGTTCTGATTTTGGCTGCAGTCACAACAGTGTCTTGTTGGTTGACTAATACATCCAGTCTTGCCCATGTGCATGTGTCATATGTATATATTATTTTGCTACCCCATTAATATTGTGTACACATTGAGGCTTCATGCTCCTATCTGTTCAGGCTGGTTTAGAGTATGTGCAGCTCATGTCCACTGCAGATCTGTCTGCTCTCCCTACACTCCATTCTGCCAGTGTTTCCTTTGTCTCTGGGGTCACTCCCAATAGCTAAAAGTCCTGAGAAATGTACACAGCATGTGGGGAGCGTGGTCAGTCAGATGCTACAGTATTTTTCCTCTAGATGACATTGCATAACACACTTCAGTAGGTTTTTGCTTCTTTGTTTGCTTGTTTGGTTTATTTGAGGCTGTAACATCACTTTATTGCAGAAAACAGAATGATTTTGGCCAAAGGAATACGTTTAGCTGGGTACTTTTCAAATAGCTATGAGGAAGCAGATGTGATTTTGGATTTACGTACATTCTGTGGTGCCCTTTTCATTTGACCTTGCAATATATGGGAGTGGGTCATTGATGAGCTCTCAAGTGCATCAGCATGCTAGATGTGAGTCCTGCTGGATTAGGAATTTAAAACTTAAGGAAAGGGTAAAGAAAGCCAATATTTAGTTATAAAGGAAACAAGAAAATACAGACTGTTTTGTGTAGATTTTGCAGCAAGAGCTGGCTCTGTCTCAGTTTCAGTGGAGTCTCTCTCTCTAGCCAAAGGGAATGTAGGATGTGACAGGGAGGGGCTGATTGGGGAGGAATGCCATGCAGCTATCAGCAGCGGGCTTCTATGTAAATACTGTAACACCTCTGAACCGAGGAACAGCTGAGATAACACTGTAAACTAATCTCTAGTGCCAGAGAAGCTGGCCAATCCCTCACATTGTATGGTTTCTGTAGAAAAGATGCGCTAGGGAAAAAAAGACGCAGATTGAAATTATATATGGCAACTTACCATGGAGTAAAATATGCTGACTTTTTAAAATTGAAAGCAGCACGTTTTTTCTTTGAAATGGTACTCTGTGCCAGGGCGTATATGCCTATAAAACCTTGCATGTATATGAATTCTTATATAAATAGGCATCGCTATCACCAAAATATTTTCAACTCTCTCTGTTACCTGTGCCTAATCAATTTAGAGAAATATGTACTCTCTTGGGGTCCTTATCCCACCAGTATTGATTTTGATTGATTTTTACTCAATACCAGGAAAACTAAGAGCCAAAGTTTGTCCAGAGCAGAGGCACTGAAGCACAGTCTTTCCCTGCTTTGACCTTTTGAGGTCACTGTATTTCACAATCCTACACCTTCCTTTCTTAGGTAGCTAAGAAAAAAAAGTAATATATACATATGTATATATACACAGATACATATAGGCATATATAATTTATATGTGCATATATATTTATATATACACGTATATGAAATATACATACACACACCCTTATACACAAATAGTGTCTCACCTGAAACAGGTTGTCTCTCCTCAAGGCATTTAAAGAAAAGCAGGAGCTATCAATGGCCAAGAAGTTTGTTGCTACATCTGCTTCAGAGTTGTGCTCATAATTGGGCACAACCCCAAGATACACTGGGGCTGGGGTGGAGCTAACCACCTCATTAATTGTGCTAGAAACGAGGAAACTGATTCCACTATCTCGGATTTCAGAAGAAATTAAAGTCTAAGCGTCTCGGACGCCCCCTTTGGATACAGTTTAGAAATGAGTAGTTGGCAATTTCCAGTTCTCACACCCTTTGTCAGAGCCAAACCACAGTGCAAAGATAGCCCTTACACCAACACCCCCGCAAAGCCCCCAGATTGCAGGTTGGGTTGTATTCACAAGCTCTTTCCTTCCACCTCATTTAAGGTGTGTATAACCACGTGACGGCTGTCAGCCCTTGTATAGCATCTAATAAACTGGACCTGTGTTTAAGCAGTTGATCCAGTTTATCGAGCGTTCCCCTCTTGACCTTGACATCCCACCCTTCCCTTCTGTCCCAAACCTCAATTCTTTTTTTCCCCTGTTGTGTCTTACATAGGCGGACATTGGGCAGTTTATAAGCTGAGCTCCCGAAGGACACTGTACTCTGCATTATAATGCAGTTCCTCTGGGACAAACGTTGACAATCTCTGCCTTCACATACCAGGCCAAACCCACTCAAGGGATGCCTCTCCAGTCTTTCTATTTTTAACTAAAAAAAAAAAAAAAAAAGGTAATCCTGAAGATACGTGGATTTTTGAGGTTCCACCGCTGGAACAAATTATCAATGTGGATGTTTCAACAACTAAGCAGGAAAACAACTGTCACATTACATTAATACCATAGCTGGTTTTTGTCCAAGCTATTCCCATCTCTCATCTTCCGCCCTATACATATCACTATGTGTTACTGATCCAGTATGCATTAAAAGAACAAAAATTAGGACTTTAAGTATCTGCGTATTAATGTAAATGAGCAGAACCCATTTTGTGCTATAGATGTCAGCCAAAAGCAGAGAGAAGCACGATTTTTGCTGCATGTGCTCATCAAAATTTAAAAGCAATGGAGTGTGCACTGCTCCTTCCTAAGGCAATACAGGCAGCGGATGCTGCCTCCGTGCAGTAGAAGAGCCTCAGTTGTTGGCACCAAAGTAACCTCGTGGGTCGTCGATTAAATAGGAGCTCGAGTGGCTTCTTTTCAGTGGAAAAATGAAAAGCCGGGGGAGAAAACACGCGTGCGGCTTTCCCCGCACCCTCCGCCAGGCCCGCGCATCTCCCGTTTCTGGGCCCACCTGGGCCGGCACCCGGCGGGTGTTGACACCTCGGGGCGCCGGCGGCGGCCGGCGCCG